TCAAGTACCACAAGATCTCAATGCAAGAAGCCTAAACCCTAAACCCTAGAGGACCCCGAAGACCCCAGAACCGACCGCTCTCGAGGACCCGTCGATGGCTCCTGACGAGATGACTGAACCCCCACCTGTGGTGGAGAAGAAGAAAAAGAAGCCCAAGGACGCGTCATCTAGGGTTGATTAGGGATTGGGATCGTGGCCCCGACCAATATGGGAGCCTTAATAATTGAAACAGGGTTTAGGGTTTAGGGCCCTGACCTATATGGGGGCCTTCATAATTTAAACGGGTGTTGGTGAATCTTACAGTGGAGTTGTATAGGATGTAAGGGTTGCTGGGGTGGCGAGTAATCATGTCCTCGTCCAATCCCTGTGCAAGTACACACTCCAGAATCCCTATCTGTTTGAACTGTTATTTTCGACCTTGAACTTTAAGCCCCACGTAAACCCTCAGCACCGAATCCTGAGGAGGGCAAGAAGAAGGGCAAGAAGAAGCCTGTTGCCGAACAAGCACCCAGTGAGTCCGCTGAGCCGGCAGCCGTTAAGCCCAAGAAGGCCAAACGCAGCCGATCACCCAAGCGGAAGAAGAAGGCTTGAGTACTGTAGGGGTCGGAACAGTCAGTAGTACTAGTAGCATGCTGAGTATAACCAATACTTAATATACCCTTAAACCGTGTTGAAATTGATTTCTTCTTATGGCCTCTACATGAAACGTGCCGTGGCTTCTAGCTGCACTTGCCACTTGTCCTTTTTGCCTGCTGCCCGTCCTCCCTACATTTCATGAATGACGCCTGGGGCCACCGTGACACAACGACGAAGAAACCCTAAACCCTGAACCCGAGAATCAGATGAGATCAGTAAGGCAGCGGGCCAGGGATGGCTTGCGCACCAATTCAGACTTCCCGTGGGAGGTTCTGGACCGTGTAGTTGTGCCTGCACGCCATGAAAAGAGGTCCCACACGCCCTAGCTCACTCCTTCCCCTAAGCCCTAAGCTCGGACTGATGTCAGGCAATGACCAGGTAGTGCCTGCATCCACACCTGGAGCTGAGAATTGCTGGCGCGAAGGATACAACAGCAACGAGATGGTACTCTAGGGGCCTAAATGATTTCCCTATTATCACTGTTATACATTAGTGTTTTCATTATTTGTAATTCTTATTATCATCATCATTTTGTAAACCCTATACTCCCAAATGCTGTTGCAATTATGAAGGCCCCTATGTTACAGGATTGGATTGGGCTTAATTACCTTGCAGGGTGGCACTTTCAACCCGATTTTCCTCCCCCTGCTGCCAAGGACCAGACCAGCGAACAGGCAACGTGCGTTTTGTCCAGAAGCCCTGTGCCGATTTAATTTTCAGGGAAGGACTTGACTCATGGTTTCGAGACTTTCAGATTTTTAGGGTTGAGTGGTTCCAGAGTTTCGGGGGCTTCTGACTTCAATTCTGGAGGCTTCGAAGTCCTAGGAAGGAAGCTGCAGAGCCAAGCAAGCTATTCTCTTGCACACTAAGCCAGCCCTCAACCCAAACCCTAAATCCCAAAACCTGAACCCCAAACCCTAAACCCCAACAGCCTGGACCCCAAGTCCCAAAAACCGATTCGAGCCGACTGTAGACTTCATCCCAGGACATCGACGAGGGTTTGAAACGCGCACTTGTGTCAGGGTTTTAGGGTTGAGGGTTCAGGCTTTAGGGTTCAGGGTTTATGGATTTCGGGCCGAAGAATTCGTCTAGCTCTAGCGAGCACTGGCAGCAAGGATTGACAGTCAGTGGTATGGCTCCTTGAGATAGAGGTGTGGTATACTCACTTCTAAACTCTAAACCCCAACCCCTCAACTCTAAGCCCTATAACCCTAAACCCTATAACCCTAAACCCTAAACCCTAAACCCTAAAACCCCAAACCCTAAACCCTAGGCCCCATAACCCAAAACCCTAAACCCTGGAAAACCCACGCCTCAACTCTAAACCCCATAACCTAAACCCTCAAACCCTCAAGCCCTAAAGCCTCAAAACCCTAAACCCTGAAACCCTAAACTCCATAGACCCCAAGCGAACACGCGGTTGCAGAACCGCCAACCTCTCAGAAGTCCAATCCCAAGCCCCAAACCAAACGCGAAGACGGTTGAAAACCCGAAGACCTAATGTAGGGGCCTTAATAATTATCTGGATCCTTTTTTTTTTTTTTTTGGAGGGGGGGGTGCCTTATTTTAATCGTAAAAATATAATGGGCCCCAAAATCCTATTCTAATTCTTAAGGCCCCTATATTAAGCACTAAGAGGCCCTAACCCACGGTTTGGGGTTGAGGGGATGCCACTTAGCGGTTCAGGGTTTAGACTCCAAACTTCGAAACCTTACACGCGGAGTCTATGGCAGTTGGCTAGCATAGGAACTCTTCCGGGGGGCTCATCTCTCGAAGTCTGAAGAGAATGGTACTGGGCCCAAAATCCCGGAAGCCCAAAACGTCCTAAACGCAACACCCACGGAAACCCCAACAGAACCGCAAGGGGTAGTTCTCTAAATTAGGGTTCCTTTTATTTTAGGGTCCTCTTTTTACGGGTGCCGTATTACATTGGTCCCGTGTAACAGCCTGGCAAACTCCCAAAACTTACGCGATCCGCTTCGATGACAGGCGCTCCGGGCGCTGGATGTGTCAGGTACGGGCCAGGCCCACTTGTTTGGGGTACTTGTATCTGGGGTTTAGGGTTTAGGGCTGCCAGGGCCTAGGGCTTCGGATATGGGTTGAGGGGTTTAGGGTGTAGCTTTGGGATTTAGGGTTTAGGGTATGCAAGTCTTGCCGCCCTCGCCTAGGCTTCCCGTGAGTCCCAGGTCCATGTTTCGGAGGGTCTGCAGTTGCGCAAGAGTCTTTGCCAACGACCGCAGATACCCTACACCCTCTTCATCGCCGGGTGCGTGGACCTTGTTGACGACAAGCTTGATCACATGCTCTGGAAGGCACTTCAGGGGTGAGCTGAGTCGTACTGCCCCGGGTAGGTGCGGTAATCTGTTCTTCGTCTTTGTCTGTCTGAGCGTTGCCTCCATGTAATTTACGAAGTATGATTAACCAGGGGGCCGTTATATCAGTCATTTTTACCGCAATGATCAGTGCGGTTACATGTATAGTTCGTGCGGAAGTTTTTCTCCTCCTTCCTGCCCCCCAAGTACATCCCACCGCAAAACCCTAAACCCTAAACCCTAAAGCCAGGTATTTGGCATGGTCGACGAAGACTGCAGCGGAGAGATGGAGACGGTTGTGCTCGACTTCAGCGCAGGGGCTGTTACATGAAGGGCATCACAAGGATAAGATCCAATTTTGGGGTTCAGGGTTTAGGGATAAGGGTTCAGGGCCTGTTTCGGGTTTAGGGTCTAGAGACAAGAAACACTTTGGTATGGTTGTTGCCACTTACTGGGGCTTAGCAGCCTTTTGCGACTCCTTACGAGAATAAATGCCCATGCAGCTCCCGAGGAGAATTCTCAGTCAGTGAACCTTTGCAGCAATTTGCAGCTGAAAGCCCGAATCCCTAAACCCCTCTAAACCCTAAGCCCTAAACCCTCAACTCTGTCCCCAAGCTAAATCTCCTTCCGCCCACGACGTCGGCCAGAAGCCCTTTGGGTTTGTGGGATTCAGGGTAGTTAGGGTTTAAGAATCTGTGCAGTGCTCTTCGGGCTCTGGTTCAGGGCCCGCAAAACCCAAATCTGATTTCCAAAATAAATCCTAACCCCAAGCCCTAAGCCTTAAGCCCGAAACCCTAAACCCAAACGCAGAGGAACAGAGAGAACTTGGAGCACGCATCGGGGTTTAGGGTTGCTTCAGACGCCGCATTGTTCCCTAAGTCGATTTTGGAGGTCTTTATTGAAAGATTTGAAAGACAGCTAACATAATTGAGGATCACACATCCCATAAGCTGCTCTACATACCCTAGAGACAGCAAGGTTTAAGGTTTAGGGTGTAGACATGTTCAGATTCTGCTCTTTTGCCCAAGAAGTTCAATGCAAGAATACAGAGTGATTTTCAAGCGCTGGGCCACATGATGCGGACGTTGTTGGCCGCTGCTCTCTTGCTACGTGGCTTAAAGCTTTGAGCCATTGAATTGGGTTTTGAGAAGCTTAGGGGTTTAGGGAACCATGGTGCTTGGCAGAAGTTTAGGGGTTTCAGGAAGTTAAGGGGCATGGGGAAGTTTAGGCGAGGTTGGGGTTTGGGGAAGTTTAGGGGTTTGAGCATAGTTTAGGGGTTTAAGGGAGTTTAGGGGGTTGGGGAAGTTGGGGCGGTTTAGGAGTTTCGGGAATCTTCACCATGGGACTTCGCAGCCGCCCAAAGTATCGGGCCCAAAGTATCGGCGACCTCCTCCATAGCCCTCTGAAATCCAACGCTGCTGCCGCTTCTGCGTTACAACATAGAGCCGTCCTCCTAAACCCTTTCTCCGACGGTCCCAGGTGGACGATCGCTGCGGAAGACATAGAGCTCGCCCACATGAAAGTTGCTCTACTATTGGGGGCTTTAGGGTTTAGGGTTTAAGGCTTAAGACTGTTGGAGGCAGTTCTGTAATTAGTTTCTTTATCATTAATAAGATTTCATATACGGTTTGATAGGCTCTGAGATGGGAGCCTCAATATTGGAATAGGGGTTTGTGGTACATCATATTTTGGTCGGATATAGGACGGTAGGGGAAGGTGATTGTACACTAACTTTCAGGCCCCTGTAGCACGCACTAGTAACCACGTTCGGAATTTGTGGTGAGGGAGCAGTGCTGCTGGTACATCTTTGCTAATTCCCCAAGCCGTAAGTTAAGCCCTTTTGTTTTTTTGGGGATTTGGTTCCCGGTGGCCAGACAGACCCGAATAATACTCTATCACATAGAACCCTAAATGTTAATGGTCTTTGCGGACAAGGCCCAAATCTTCGCGGGCAGAAATGGGCCCTGCCCGCGAAGATTTGGGCCTTGCCCGCGAAGACTTGGGCACTTGGGCCTGCATTCTTCAAGTGCAAAGTTATAGTATATTGGGCCCCCAAGCCCTATTCTAATTATTAAGGCCCCTACATTATGCTGGGATAAATGCAACTTACTGGCTGCTCAGTGGCTATATCAGGAGGTATATCAAGCTACAACGCTCTTTTAAGGGCTGCCAATGTACTATATTGTATGATGCCGTCAGAGCACCAGTTTGATGATGTGGGCCACCAGATTAGCTTCTACACAGACCCTCTCAGCCCCCCTTGATACCCACCCCGTCAACACAACCCCAACACCAAAGCCACCAATTCAATACACTCGAAACAGCGGACCCTAAAACCGAAGTACGAAACCGCAAACTAAGGAGGAGTTCCAGGTAATCAAATACGAGATGTTGGAACGGCTGAAAGCGCTAGACGAGAGCCGCATGTTGCAGACAGAGGAGTTGACCACTGCAACAAGACTGGTGGTCTTTGGTTTAGGGTTTAGGGGCTTAAGGCTTAAGGTGAAGTGTGCAGGGCTGCAAGGCTTAGGCTTCAGGGTCCAGGGTGAACTGTTTGCGGCTTCTTAGGCGGTTGCAGGCAAAGTGTGTGTGCATCGCAGAACATGAGGCGGCCTTGTCTGTATGGCATTCGACCTTGCTTGCTGGTGTGTGTGTGTGTGCATGTGTGAGTATGTGTGTACATGGCATATGTAGTACATACATTGATGCATATACATACATAAGTACGTACATACATACAT